GATGTTTAGGTTCTGAATGCTTCACTTTTGTGACATGCAGAACAGGAATATTTTTAAATTCAATATATGACTCCTATGCAGAGGCATAAACTTTTTGACTGACCGGAAGTGACCTCAAAACGGTATTATAAATACAGAAAACACAGAACAATGGCTGTATACACTATGTCTTGACGTCAAGGAAAATTTTGTCAAATCAAGCTCTATAAAATACGACTGATTTTACGTATTGAACCTGTGTTTTTTGTCAATGCTTTTACAATCTATTTTCACGGCAGTACTGAAAGAGTGTGTGTATTAAATTGGCTATTTATCTGTTGTTCAGTAAAAAATTATAGCTGCATATATACATCCAAATGTGTAAATATTGAATAACTCTATGCAGAATTGCATTGTTTGGTGGAATTTTTCACCAGGAGTTTGTGCAGCGGAACAATAAGCAATTATGTTTTGCAGACATAGTCCGAAAATGTTCATATGTTAGCAATGTTAATCTATTCACATACAAATTTTACAATAAACTTATTTTTGAAACGTATTTCCATCCTTGACTTAAAGTTCAGGAGCACAAATTGAATTGAAGAAGTCGTTTTAATTATGGTTTTATTTTTATTTTATTTTTTGTTTGTTTCAAGCTCAATCTTTTCATATAATATATATCTTGTCTAGGGTAATGACGATACAAATGATATTTTCGGAAAATCAAACTTCAAATCAAAACTGGGAAAAGGTGATGCAGTGTATGTTAAATCGCTTGACAGTTTAATTACTAACGTATCCAGAGCCGTATTTTATTAGACTAATACTATTCGTAAAACTTTCTGGTTGGTAGTTGAGGATTCAAACGAATAATCAACCAGTTTCCCTCTTTTATTCGGTGTTTAAAAAAATGAAGATGTGTTCGAACATTTCATGATGTTAAATAGTTGGAAATTAGGAATTACCAACTACCAGCTAGAAGTTACATTTAGTTCGTTATTCGAATATCCAATTTCCAACTACGTACCAAGACCATTTGGAAGAATTAATTTATCATGTCATGTATCTGATACAATTATTTTTGAAAATAACTTTGTGCTTTTAGAGAACTACGTGTAATGTTCGTATAACCAACTACTTTCTGGTTGGTGGTTGGGATCCGCTGTATATTCACATTGCAATATATACAAGATGTATGGTTTATGAGAAGTCTAGTAAATAACTACATGTAGCATGATTAGGGTAAATGTTTAATATAAACACAATAAAATATCAATGTTGTCGTCCCTTCGTGTATTCGCATTTGAGACGAAGGAGCGAAATTGTTTTTGATATTGTTGATGATGTTATTGTTGTTGTTATTGTTTATTGTTTTGATTTTTGTGTTTTACTTTTTTTATCTTTTTTTTTGGGGGGGGGGGTGTTGTTGTTGTTGTTGGGTTATACTTTGCATGAACATTGTACGAGGTCACATGGAAAGACCTCGTGTGCCTCTAGTACATTATTTAAGGCAAAACGGGCACCTGAGTAGAACCATAGATGTCCCGTAAACTAGCTACTTAGTTTACTCACATGTATAATCCGACGACGATTGCTCGGCCGAACCTTTGTCTTGGGTCTTATATTCCCCAAAGAAGTGGACGGGGTTTAATCTTCAAGTAAAATGGAGTTCAAGTTAAACTAGAGAACTTGAATAAAAACAAATTAATATGAAAAAATAATAAAGATCTATACTATAGATTGACTTGAAAATCGAGACTGTGTGCGATTCTGTGCCCAAATGAGTCAAAAGCCTTAAATACTTTAAAAAAAATTTAAGTTCATTTTGCACAAAAGGAGTATTTGCATTGAATTGCAACAAATGGCATTTAAGTTTTAAAACGTTTTCTACTAAAATCAGGTTAGTGATTCCATTGAACTCCGTTTTATATTTGAAATAAAGAAATTGAGTCTAGAGCCTGTATGATTTATGCTACGCGTTGATTGTATGAATAATATAATACATGTAATATCAGTATTTATATGATTTGATCAATGTATGATTCTTGTGACATACATACTTGTATGATTGATTTGACATCGGTGAATATCTGGTTTATGTTTCGTGATGGTTTGTTTGATTCATGTGACATCAGTCCTCTTACAATTTTTGTAACTTCAATATTTGTAAGGTTTATATGAAATCCTTATTTGTATAATTCATGCGTTATCGTTGTTTTTTATTGTATTTATGTGACTTCAGTCCTTGTATATGTTTGCGTCATCAACATTTTAAAGATTTATAAGACATCAATATCTGGATGATTTATGTGTCATCATTGTCTGTTTGCTTTATGTGGCATCAGTCCTTGTATATTTTTTGTGACATCAATATTTGTAAGATAGATATGACATCAATATTTGTATGATTTATGCGTCATACTGTATGTGTAGAAATATTCGCGGGCTTCAAATTTTCGCGATCTTCGCGGTGACATTCGATCCGCGAATTCATGTTTAGCGCGAATATTTCTACACCAATTATTTCTTAATAGTCATATTTTCGCGCTCTTATAGAACAATGTATATCAGCGTGTGATATGCTTTCACACTTTTTATTTAAATCTTTACTGAGTAATTGTGTTTTGTTTTCCAAGTTATTCATCATTTAAAATCGTTTATGTTTGTTTTTTTAATTGTTTGTTCAGAAAAAACAAAACATGATCTGATCAGATGTCAAAACGTTTATGACGCAAACTGTGAAAAATTATGCACGTTAACGGGCATTCATTTGTTTGCTATAATTTGTCCGCTAGACAATGTTCTTTTTCTGTACAATAGAGTATTGTTTGACACTTGGTATTGAAAATAACTGTGAACTCCCACGATGATTACAGTAATTTTCCTTTTTAACCTGAGTGGTCTACGCGAATTTATGATTTTCGGCAGTCACCTCCGCGAATTCAAAATAGCGCGAATATTTGTATAGACCCCCAAAGTGGACCTTTCCGCGAAAATTTGCTTCCGCGAATTTAAATACACATACAGTAACTGTTTGTTTGATATATGTGGCATCAGTGTCTGTGTGATTCGTGTGAAGTTAGTGTTTGTATAATTTATTTGACATCTGTATTCCATAATCATTTTGTATTCACATGTATTTTTGTATTGTTTTTTGTTTTGTTTTTGTATTGTTAAAGGGTCTTTCCCATGTCCAAGAAGAAGCAAAACAAATTTTGTTAGTAGAAATGTATTTACATGTATGTACATAAACATTTCATACAAAACAGGAAGAAAGATACAGCATACATGCCACTCAAAAATATTACAAATAACATTGTCAATATACATTAAACACCGGGATGACACAAAAAAGAAACTATTTGTTCCTTATTTTCATCGTGTTTCTGTCATTGGTATTATTTGAAATGCAAACTATAGAAAGTTTTACACATCATTTTGAATAATTGTTTTAACAAAAATACTACATATATTATATCACACAGCAGATAGATTATAAGCATTTAACTTGCTTAATCCACCCTTGTCCAGGTATTAATTTGAAACTTCAAAGATTAAAGGGAATTGTGTAGATATACAAAAATTGAGCTACAAACAGTATAGAGCAAATTGAAAATAAGTCATGTCCAAATATGTTATCCGTAATAAATTATTCTTCACAATTTGATCAATAAACTACATGAATTTAGTGCCGGCATACTATTAACTTAATCTTAATAACAGATAATTGATTTCATCATATACCTGTGTATTTTCTCTCTAAAATATATATGCAAATCATGAAGTGCGATACGCTTCAACAGATAGAAAATTCAGTATTATATTAGTTACAAATACGGTACAATTTATGGAAGTGCCGGACTATTTTCGACATTTGTTCCAATCTTAGCTGTCACAGTGTATAACATGACATTTAGAAATGGGAACCAAAATTATAAAAGGCGTGATCTGTTTTTTAAAATTATGAGTCAGTAATTTATGAATTTATTTATTGACAGCTACATTTTCATTTCAATAATTACCAATAGAAGTGAAGTTTATTATATAACTTTCCTACTTAAACGAATGGGTATATAATCAAAGGAAAATTATTGTGTAGAGCTTTCTGAGGTCATGCATCTTGCTACTCGCGGTCACGCGATGTATAAATTTTCCAATGCCGCTCGTAGTAAAAAAAAACCAACAAATTCTCAGAAAGCTACAGTAACTACAATTGAATATGCCGTATACATAACATATATAAACATTATTTGTTATATGATTTTTTATTAATATATGATATTCAGCAATGTGCTATAAATACTTAAGACATATAGACTTGTGCTATCATTTGTATTTACTCTTAAGAGTTACTAATTATGTATAAATAGCGCGTTATTTCATTCGGATATGTTTAGTTTTTACCGTGTATATTTAACTTCCGGATAAAGTCGGTGAATCTCGACGATTTCCGTCTTTAATGTACAATGTAGAGCTCACCCGTGCAATAGCCTGAATAGTGGTCACTAGAACTGTGCTGTACTTGCTTAATTGTTTTATTTGTTGTATATGTGTCTATGTGAGAAAAAGGTCATTTTTATTCTTCAAAAATCCTCAATTTTTGCGCACTGTTAGGTTTCTCTGTGTCTTTAGTGTAATCTCCTACGAGCCAGACGTTTAGTTTACAAGTTTATATTATCCATACAAGTATCATCTGCATTGGTATTTATATTTTACAGTTTACTTTATTTCAATTTATATCGAAATATTTTGGTACAGATAGTGTAGTAAGAAATAGTATATTTAATTACGACTTAGTAATTAGTTAAATTCTAGTTCTTCCGCGAAGGTTGTGTATATATTGTTGTTTTGTTGTATTTTGTTTTGTATATATTTTTTGTTGAAATTTATACTTATTTTATTATCTTTTTAAAGCATTTTTTATCTGGCATTAATTCTAATATAGAATCTTCGCCCATAGTTGGTTTCTATATGTCCTAAGTACCTAAAGTATTGACCATGTGACACCAAGATCAAAATGTTCACTTGCACGCATGGATACAACCAGATAGTTGGAATGAAAATCCCGTTCTGTTCGTTAATTCTTGCAGCCCTATTGACAATGGCACAGTAACGTATTTTGCTCTCGAAGCTGGATTACTTTGTACAGCATTTTCATTTAGGATTCCCATAACCATAGCCAAGACATGAACACATTTGCCACGTCTGTCTTCTACACAAACTATTGCACCACTGTCGCCTGGTTTACAGAAACGTTCCGGAATATCGCCCTGACATGAATAACGATCTTCAATCACAATCAATCCTTCTTCCATGTCATTGGTCAGGTACTTGGGAACTGTTATCACACCTTTTCCTGGCTTGGATGCGGCGCCCCAAATATACACAAGCTGCCCACAGCATAGTATCCCACTTTCATCGTCCTCTACGTAGTCGTATAGCTTACACGGTAACAAATTCGTATCTTCACAATCAAGCTCGGTTCTAAATTTTGTACAAAACCTTATTTCTTCATTTAGTTTAAGAGCTGCTATGTCTAATCCCGCTGGTGGAACAGTTTTAGGAACAACCTGGCCGATAGGTTTATTGTAACCGTGTTCTGGGCATGAAAAGAAGTCGCCTTGTGAAAGTATGTGCTTGGCGGTTAACGCATACACATGGTGGTTATTACGTTTATGCATAGAAGCAAAGCATCCGAGTGTACCAAAAATAGAGTTTGGAGGTGTGCCTGTCTCGATCTTTTGTCCAACCCTTTAAAATTATTTATAGGGCCCTTTCTTTTTTAGAAAAGACTTAAATGTTGTAGCTTCCACCCTGATAGCCTAGGTTCATATTTGTCATATATCGATGTCAGTTTTACGTCCGCAACGAAAAATGACCCAAAGTAAGAAACGATAACCCTTCCCCTTTTTTTGGAGGGCATATCGAATTTTAAGTCTGCAGAGCTGAAATTTTTGAATTAATATAAGAAATAGTGTCGATACAAGGTTGAAAAAATACTTAAAATGATAGACGTTTTGTAAATTTATATGAATATTTTGTAAAATTTTAAAAGTGGTTATGAATTAATATTTCAAGCCATTTACCCTGTTTATGATTATTAACGACTGCATGAATGTATAATAATAATAATAATAATAATAATAATTATAAAAATAATAATCATAATAATAATCATAATAATAATCATAATCATAATAATAATATATTTAAATTCACCTGTTTATCTACTTGTATGTTTTCAGTGCAACAACTAATAGGCTGTTCCTCGGTTGATAGACAACTTGTACGAAAGAGAGCTGTCATTTCTGCATACAAGCTTACAATCTTGTCCATCTCAACATATCTAAGCTTTTTGAGAACATCTTTAGAAAATTTGTCAGTATCATATATCTTGTCTTCAAGCATTATCACTGTTTAAGAAAACAAAAAACAATATTCGTACGACAGGCTTTCTACTTCCCCTTCAGCAAAAGGTAAGGAATCGTAGGGCATTTGTCAGCAATAGTTACTACAAGGTAGTGATTTTTTGATGATAAGAACGAATTACATAACATTTTAGTTTAAATTAACATTAAAAGCTAACGCCATACCAACATCAGGTTGTTTAACTTTTAGATCTGGCCATGCTTGAATTTAAAAAGCATGTACTTGTTTTCAGTAAGCTCCTGATGTTAAGAATGGACTTCACGGGTTTAAAATTAATTAAACACCGATCTACAAATCAAAAGTAACTAAAGTAAAAATTTCATTTTTTTTTTCTTTTCTTTCTCACAAATTAGGGATAATAGGTTAATTGTAGTAAAAAGAAAACAAACAAGGTATGGATTAAATGCAAAATGAAAAACAAAAAAGGAGGCCCAAAAAGGGTAAAAGAAAGCGGGGTTTAAAGAAAAGAAGTACAAAATAAAATAATATTTTGTCAATTATGTATTGATAGTCTAATTTCCATAAAATAAACGAAAACAGTTATATTTTAATTTAGATTTAAAATCTTTTTATCTGTTCTATAATAAGTTGATAATTTTCAATAAAAATTTGATATTTTTATATTTATTTATATAAAAAGTTGAAAAAAAATAAAATGTAAACAATTCGTAAAAAAACTCCCCGTGAAATGTTTTACTTAACATTTTCCAATTTTTTAAATCTTTCTGTATATGAAAGTATTATCTAAAAAAAACTTTTTTTTTGTTAATTGTCATATAAAACGATTGTTCAGTGTATTTGATTAATTTGTTACAGCCAGGTTAAGTCTGTTTGCCGTGTTGTTGATATATTGCATTATATTGTAGTTTGACTGTTATTTAGCATTAGACGTTAACTGCTTGAAAAGCTTTAAAATTATGATAATCAACTCACCCTGCCTGGTTTTAGTCGTTTCAAATTTCTCAAATGTTTGTTTGGAAATGTTCTCCTCACTAACATTTTCATCAACATATTTTGCCCTGCTTTTGACTTCAATATTTACGCACTTGTCATTTCTTTCTCTTTTGTGAATATCATCCACTCTTCCCCGATGATTCTGACAATTATTTCCTTTGTCAAATGATTTCCTTTTATCCAGCAAGATTTTAACATGTTCATACTCAAGTTTAATTGACTTCAGAATTTCCTTTTCTAGTTCGTCACTAACATCATCAACAACTTGCTCTTTCGTTGTGTAAATTCTACCATCAGAATATGTCTTTAACTTGTCATTCAATTTGTTATCGCGTATAACAAACAATTTTGTTTTTACGTTTTTCAAACCTTGGAGTTCAACAGAATCTTCTAAAGCTTCCGGAATCAGAATAGGTGCAATCATGCCAGAATAAGTTCCTCCTTGGTGGGTTGTTAAGGCAGGCATCCCATCTTTAAAACTTAGTCCCTTCACATGTTGGATAAACGACCGATTTGAAATAAAGTCGTTAATTTGTAGAGTCACTGAATCATTCGGACTATCAATTAAGAAAACATCAACGCCACACGTGTCAAACTTTGGATGCTCTATTGTGCCATTTACTCCAATTTCTCCTAATAAGTCTTCATAACGTTTATGAAGCTGGGATACGCGTCCGCAAACATACTTATACGATGGAAATGCACTCATTGAAATGTGATAATGATGCACCTTCGACATAATTTGCTTTTCAAAGCAAGTTCAGTTATTAAGTATTACAATATATAACAAATATTAAACGAAATGGAAAAAGTTTATTTCAACTCATATTAAAGCAAACAAATGACACCTATGAAAATTTTATCAATGTTAAATTACGTGAAACTTAAAATAAAAGGTACATATATTTTAACAGATATTTATCACTATATATAAGAGTACAAGGGATGGTCAAGATTTTGTGTATACTTCTGATAGTTATAATGTTGTCTTCATTAATTTTCTTTCTTTGTTATGCTCAATGTTTCATCTTTAATTCAAATTTAGAATTTCATTTAAAGTGTTGAGCGTTCAGCTTCGTTTTGAATAATCATAGTTACATACCGACGGTGTATCTAAAATAAATATTTCATGGAACAATCATGAATGATTCGCCAGAACGTCTTATACACCCAAACTTGCGTCATACTAAACTATTACATTATTTGGCCGATAGATAAGTGTGTAATCATGCTTTAACTTATATAATTGCTGTTTTTATTTGATATTAAAAATGTTGTCTGTGAAGCGCCTAGGAATACATGGTATTATCAGTATTTGTATTGCTCATTGTAATACTGCCCGTTTGTAACGTCGATTTTCATTGTCTAATCGTGGCGTTTATATAGTTTAATATACACGGGCAATATATTCTCTTTTCAAGAACTAGTATAACAATTAAACAAAATTGTTTATATAATAATGTTAAAATTATTGTTATTATTCCTGTGTTTTTGTATGGACGTATAAAATATATTTGAAATTTGTGGCTTCAATCCGGGTATATTTGGATCGTCCCTCTAAAGTGAAATTGTATAATATAGATGTAAACAAGAACACTTATATAAAAACAAAACCAAAACAACCACTTCAACTTGTTACTCTCATAAGATAAATAAAAAATAATTTACTACGCTTTTAAGTACAAATTGACGAACATAACAGATTTTATAGCGTAGTGTAAGCAAACATATAATAAACCCGATGAGTGTACTTTTATTATCTTTTTATGTTATTTTTTCGTTTTAAGTAGTGCCACAGTACTTATATTCGATTTAGTGCTAAATGTTTATTATAAAAAGCGGAGTGCGACCTCTCCGCCGTTTCTATATAATTCAATGTAAATTTCTACTGACGGAAATCCTCCCGGCGTTAAAAATACATGCCCCGCCGTAAACAATCCGCTCCTCCGATAGATCCATATCCTAAGTTAATTTTCAATAACTTAACGCCGAAAAATATTGACCGCCGTTACAACTACTTTCTACGGTTTAACAGAGGTGACATGTGTGTGTTTTTATTATCTTGTGCGCACGAGATACTCTGTCATGGCCACAAGTTACTACGTCGTGGCAACGATATATTTTAGTCGTGCACACGAGATACTATGTCGTGGCCACGATAAACTATGTCGTTGCAACGAGAGATGCTTAAATGATGCGCACGAGATACTCTGTCATGGCCACGAGCTACTAAGTCGTGGCCACGAGATCATTAAGTGGTACGCACGAGTTACTATGTCATGGCAACGAGTTACTAGGTCGTTGCCACGAGATAATTTAGTGGTGCAAACGAGATACTATGCCGTGGCCGTGAGTTACCATTCGTGAGAACGAGATATTTAAGTCGTGCGCACGAGATAATTAATCAATTATATATGTTCGTGAAGTTGGCAGCCTAGCAGCCAGACAGCCTAGCAGCATGGCAGCCTAGCAGCCTAAAGAAAACTAAGATACAGTAACAACATTGAAAACGTTCGGAAATACAATTAGTAGCACTTCTTTAGATCAATTCCACACCTTTTTCAATATCGTGATTATTTTCTTTAAGATGTTTGAACTTTACGTAACATATTATTTTTTCATTTCTGGACGTTCGAAATTGTGTGAAATTAAAAAGCCTAGCAGGATAAGTACAAACATGAAAACCGGCCGAAGAATGAATTGGTAGCAAATACTTAGACCATACGCACGTCTTATTTCAGTAAATCGGCGTACTTTATTTTTTTAAAATTAATTAACTTTTTTTTATTTTGACATTTTCGAAATTTGTTGAAGTTAGCAGCCTAGCAGCCTGGCAGCCCTAAAGCTAGTAGCATGGCAAGCCTAGCTAGTCTAGCAGCCTAAGGAAAACTAAAGGATTATACAAACAGGAAAACCGTCGGAAAATGAATCGGTAGCACATACTTAGACCATTCCACGTTTTATTTCAGTGTCGCAATCTTTATTTTTTTTAATATTGAACTTTGTTGTTTTTTTTTTTTGTTTTTTTTTTTTTTTGTTGTTGTTGTTTTTTTTTTTTTTTTTTTTTTTTTTTTTTTTTTTGTTTTGGTTTATTTTTTTGACACCTTCGATAATTGAGAAGTTAGCAGCCTAGCAGCCTAGCAGCCTAAAGGAAAACTAATGATAATACAAACATGAAAACCGTCGGAAGTGAGTCGGTAGCACATACTAAGACCATTCCACGTCTTTTTTCAGTATCCTGATCTTTATTGTTTTAAATATTGAACTTTGTTTTTTCTGTTTTTTTTGACACTTTGAAACTTGTGAAGTTAGCAGCCTATCAGCCTGGCAGCCTAAAAAAACAAAGTTCAATATTTGAAAAAATAAAGATAGCGATACTGAAATAAAACGTGGAATGGTCTATGTATGTGCTACCGATTCATTTCCGATGGTTTTCATGTTTATATTATCCTTAGTTTTCTTTAGGCTGCTAGGCTGCTAACTTCACAAATTTCGAAGTGTCAAAAAAAAAAGTTCAATATTTAAAAAAATAAAGCTCGTGATACTGAAATAAAACGTGAATGGTCTAAGTATGTGCTACCGATTCATTTACGACGGTTTTCATGTTTGTATTATCCTTAGTTTTCTTCAGGCTGCTAGGCTGCCAGGCTGCTCTGCTAGGCTGTTAGGCTGCTAACTTCACAAATTTCGAAGTGTCAAAAAAAGAGAAAAAACAAAATTCAATATTTAAAAAAATAAAGATCGCGATACTGAAATAAAACGTGAATGGTCTAAGTTAATGCTACCGATTCATTTCCGACGGCTTTCATTTTTGTATTATCCTTAGTTTTCTTTAGGCTGCTAAACTGCTAACTTCACAAATTTTGAAGTGTCAAAAAAACAAAAAACAATAAAGTTCAATATTACAAAAAATTCAGTTCGCGATACTGATGTACTTCCGACTCATTTCCGACGGTTTTCATGTTTGTGCTATCCTAAGTTTTCTTTAGGCTGTGTCGTATAACGTAGGAAGAACTCACGGATGTTACATACTTTTTAATATACAAATACAAACACACAAGTAAACGAGTGGAATACTAAAGTCGAACTCCCCACTGACATTTTGAGAATAAGTATATATAAAAACAACCTGTCATAAATGGACATTTTATAATGTAATATAAATACACGCGTTTTAAGAGTTACATATATAAAATCCTCTTGACATAAGCCTAGTCCGCAATGCTATCCTGAACTATAATACTTCATAAATCATGTCATGTTCCATAGTGCACATTATGAAATAAAAAACCTTAATATATGTATATACATGTTGGTCTTGTCATTCTTTTTGAATATCAGCATGTATGAACTAATTAGCCTGTGCAATCAGCTATACGACAATTCCTCCATTACTTATAAAAAAAAAATATTAAAAAAAAAAAAGTTAAATTGAACAAGTTATTATTTAATATCAAAACATTTCAAACTCGTTCTAAAACAAATTATAAAAATCTAAAATCTAAAAATCAACTTGACATCTGTTTTACGCCTTAAATGATAATATCCCGTCAAGAGATGTTATCTAATGACTTTTTTATTTATTTTATCTTTAAAAGGAAAAACGCCTTAGGAAACAATATCGAAATTATCCGCTCAAATAATATTTTTCTTGTCACTTTTTTAAAAAGTTTTCGGATACTGCAGTCGCGGGTAAGTAATAATTTACTTCAACAATTTTGTAATTGTTTTTAATAAGTAAAAAAATAATAATTGTTAAAATGTAAAGATAATCTTTTCGAAATTTTTTTTTTATCAGTTTAAGTATTTTCCTTTATTTCATCATAAAAAAAAGAGAAAAAAAAAGTTAATTTCTAGAGATCAAGAAAACATATAAAAACAAACAAATAAGTTTAACAATTTTTCAAAAGAACAAATTATTTTAAGAATATTAATTAGAAAAAACTTTTAAAGGTATAAAATTTAACCAGAATTATAATGTATGATAAAGAGTAGAAAAAGATATTTATACTTACGAAAAGTTTTAAAAAAATAATTATAAACAATTGATAATTGAATAAAATGTCCAGGTGTTTTATTTTTCTGTAAAACGTGTATTGTGCATGCGCATTGAACACTTCCTGTGACAGGTATATTTTTTGTAACAGGTACTTGCTGACATCGGTATGGCTTGGTGGTCGTGACGTGTCGGGAATTTCAAATCGTTGGTATGTAGCTTTATAAAGTATAATTTAAATTGACACTCATAATTGTTCATAAATGTTTGATGTTCTTGAAGATTCTTTTAAATTTGTATATATGTATTTGATACGTGTAAACGTAGACTTGATACACAAGTTGATAAAGTTATATCTCGAATATTTATTGGCACATCTGTAAACGCTGTTCTTGTTTCGTCGTTGTAAAAAAGAATGTCCTTGTATTGAACAATACAACAAAGTGATGATAGATCTATAATTCTGCATTTATGTAGCAATGTTTTTGAGTAAAAAGATAATTAAATTAACAGTTTGCTGTTGCACACGATTCCTCGAAAATGTTTATGTGAATATTTAATTTTGGATATCTGTCGCGCACAAATAATTTATTTTGATAAGAAGTTGTCATCAAGTAATTTCTCTGGGTTTTTGTTTTTAAGTTTATATAACACATAGAAAAACACATTCTATTGATAAACGGAAGTTTTCGGCTTCTCTGGTTGAAGACAGGAACAAAAGTTTATTTGAATCCACAATTTTGTTGTTTTTTGTTGTTGTTGTTGTTGTTGTTGTTGACGGCTGTGTCAGTATAGTTATATATTTTAAACATCGTAGACGCTTATTTCATATAATTTTACATCGAAGATGGTGTTTTTGGTTATATCTGCATGGTTTTACATCGAAGAAGGTGTTTTATGGTTATATATGCATGGTTTTTGTTGTACATAGTTTGACTATCGTAGAGGCTGACTGTAATATTTCTAGTCAGGCGGTGTTTTACTGTACCCGGCGAATTCGCTCGCACCTCTTTGTCTTGGCTGGACGACAAGTGATCCGTTAGACAATATTTTGCATTTTCGTCCGTTGTCAGATCGGTTAATAGATATTATATACAATAAACAATAATTTTTTGTTTCAGAGATATATGAACAACAAGACAACTGTCATAAAATGCATAGGATAAGAATCCAATGAAAGATGTTCTCTATGTAAGTATCTTATTTATGTAATACTTGATATTAAAATTTTTTTTTACTTTTCTAGACATATTTTGTTAGTTTTTAACTAAGCCTATTAACTTTAGTTTTATTTCGACAATAAGACTTAATCCCAATTTAAACTTTAATTTAATGATTGTGCGTTGACAGTTGAAACATGTATGTATACACATGTTATTTCTAATATTGAAATAAAGTATATAATCATTTGAAACTCATGATTAAGTGCTGTCATTTACTTTGAAAATGCATTTTAATTAACCGATCTATTAATAAACATATAGCGGAAATAACGATCATTTTAAGCAATAATAAAAAAAATCTAAGATATATAGTTCTAATAAAAGCCAAGTTGAAACTTGATATAAATGAATACAACCACCAAAAAGATATTATGATTAAATAATGTAATTTTCTGTTTTTGTTTTATTATCGTTTTTCTTGTAACATATATATATTTTTTTCTATAATAACTATTTACAATGCCTGAGGTCAATTTACCGAAAATTAGTATAGCACATAAACACGGAATATAACTTTCTATAGCATACTGGCTAATCCTTGTAAAAACATTTTAACATTCGGTTTCAAGCGTTTATTATTATTATGTACCTCTTTGTGTTTACCTTACCAGATACTTTATATCGTGGTTTTACAATACTTTTCTTTTTAGTAGAAACAGAGTTTATAAAACATTTCATTATCCTGAATCGTTATCATCAGCCATTGAATCTGACTGAATAGCATTATATGCTGCTTGTGACGGAGGATTGCTATATACTTGTATGGAATTTGAGTCTGATTTAATTCTGAATCAGTCTGCGATTGCATTTCTTTCTGAATGTGCATTTTCTTTGAGCATTTGTCATTATTTGAAATTTGTTTTGTTGTTTGTCGAAGATGTTTCCTGTAATTCGGCTAATGGAAATATCATCTTCACTATCAGAATTTGACCTTTCTTTTCTAACATTCTTAGGCAACTTGGGGTAATACTGATTCTGGTATTTCTGAAGCATCATCAGTATCGCTATTTTCAGGTGTAACTACAAATGTGGCATTTCTTTTTGGTCGGGCCAGTAATCCATCTGCTTTTGGTATTGACCAGTCATTAATATTTGCAAGCCTAATTTGTTCTGCATCGGCTTTAAGCTGTTGAATTGTCAAATTGA